TCCTGTCACTTATAAACCCAAGATTCTACTGATTTAGTTAATCTCAAAAGTGTTTGATGAGAGGATTACATAAAATATGTCATGCAATAACATCAGTGACTGAAATAAAGGAAATAAAAATAATATTTTCATTCTGCTTCTGGAACTATAAACACACTTTTTGGTGAGGGATACTAGTTTGTTCATGTAATTAATGTTAAATAATGCTGCTAGTATAAAAATAGAAATAAGTGGGTAATCTGATTTCTTGCTAAATATTTTTACCATACAGTTAATGTAAAGGAGAAAGATGTAGTAACCCCTACAAAACTTAAGTAGATTTCTTTGTAATGTACTCATGAATGTGAAACATTTTAATCTTTCTTGGTTTTTGTTTTTCTTCAAGTGATATTCTTTTGTTCCTTTACCAACTTTCTCTTAACAAGACCCCCAGATCCTCTTGGAAGAATTTCCTGACTACCCTGTATAGATATTTTTTTCTGCTCAACTCTTTAGCAATTATCATCTCTGATACTTATCAGCTATCTTGTACTATTAGTAATATTAACATTTGTGTCTTTTTTCTCCCCAAGTACTGGAAATTGAATCCAATGGCACTCTACTGCTGAGTTACATTCTCAGCTCTCTTTTATTTATTTTGGTACTGGGGATTGAACCCCAGGGTGCTTTACCACTAAGTAAATGCCTTTTAAATTTTTGAGACAGGGTGTTGCTAAGTTGCTGAGGCTGGTCTTAAACTTGGGATCCTTCTGCCGGCTTCCTGAATATAGGCCACCACATCTTGCCCAGGCTGGAGTTTATATTGCATTTCTCCTGCCTCAGCCCTTTGAGTTGCTGGGATTACACGCCCGACTATGAGTAGCATATCTCTCCAACAAGACTTCAAGTTTTTTGGACATAATTTGGTATTTCTTTCTCTATGTTTCTGTTTGTCTCTCTTTTCATAGTATGGCACTGAGGACTGAACTCAGGGGCATTTTTACCACTGAGAAAAACACCCAATCTTTTTTATTTTTTGAGATGGACTCTCACTAAATTACTGAGGGTCTTGCTAAATTGTTCAGGCTGGCCTCAAACTTGTGATCTTTTTGCCTCAGCCTCCTGAGCAGCTGGGATTACAGGTATGCTCCTCTGAGGCTGGCTTAACAAGGTACCATTCAGGTTTTAGAACTTTCAGACTTATTTTCAAAGTTCTAAGGCACAAAACTTGTTGAGAATAATTTGAAACAAGAATGACAAGTCTGTGAATCAGAACAGTTGGGGAAGACTCAGGAGGAGGGATTTCCCCTATCTCACCACAACTTCCTATTATAGTTCCCACTTCCCTATCCTTAGTACTTCAGATACCTTTCATTTCAAAATCCACCCTGCTGGTGAAACCTTTGTTGAGCTGTATTTTTTTCTAATGAACCCTTTCTTGCGTTATTTTTTTCTTTTTCTAATGAGCATTTCATCGTCTCATAATTCATGATACCCAGAGAACATTCCATTGTTATTAACTCAGATAAGTTATTTGGTGTTTTAACTACTACTATAATCTTCTATTTGGTCACTGGACTTTCTTAACCCCAAGTCATCACTGCCAGTCTAATTTTTCCAGAATATCACTTACATGATTACTACCCCTGCTCAAAAAGCTCTGATTACTGGTAAATATTATATATTTAAAAGGATTTAAATTTCTTAGTTTTGTGCTTCAGTAAACAGGTTCATCTCTTTTCCTGGCGGTATCCAGAACTCCTGAAGAGGATTACTCAGTTTAATCACCTACTGATATGTGCTTATGTCCCCAAACCACAATGTGTGTTTTTGTTTTTGCTTATGGGACCTATGTGTCCAGATTTTCTAGCCTTCAGCCTAAATCTTTTTAATATCCAAATTAGAGTTCTGGGAGACATTTCTTGTTAAGTAATATTTGGAATTTCTGAAGAATGTTCTCAAGTCCCAGAAAACCACTTACATGACACTTGTGATGTCAATTGTCACATAGTCAGTTGTCTCATTCCAGACAAACTTTTACTCTCAGTTGTTGAGAGCTTGCTTTTACAAAGCCAGCTTCTACAGGCTGCTGCTGCTGTTCTCTAGGGACAATGTTGACCCAGGCATATTCCCAGGCTGCACATCTAATCCCACGCTGTACAGCTAAATCTAGACTATAATAGTTCACAAAATTTAACAAGTTTAGAATAACTAGAGGGGCTACTGTACAGAAAACTTAAGTTGAGAATCTAGATATAAGGGTTGCTAGAGTTCACTGGCCAGCCATCTGCAAAGAGGGTTCCATACTGATGCTCCCTGATTTCCGTTGCCAGTCTTTCCCCTTTCCTCACTCCCCATCAGCAACATTCATACTTCAAGGGCCAGCTTCTCTTCCTCCAACGAACTCGTGTCAGCTGGAAAATGGATATTTATTGAGTATCTTTCAAGTGCCAGTTACTATGCTAGGCCTTGGGGATATACAAGGGATAAGAAAACAGACAAAAGCCCTGTTTTCATGAGAAATAAATATTAAACAAATTAGTAAAACATTTCTCAGGTAAGAAAATAAAACAACAAACAAATAAAAACAATGGAAGTTTGCTGGCAGCTGGAAGTTTGCTGGGGCCCCTTCGGCTGTGGCTCTCAACATCCCCCCCATTCTGGTGTCCACACTCAGGGTCTTCATATTTTCTGGGATCCAAACACGGAGGATAAACCAAATTTCCCTTCTATCTAGTTAAGGTGATTGCAATCTGTAGAAAAGCATTTTGACCCCAAGAATGACAGCTTTTTACATTATTAAACAGTTTGGTTTCTTATTTTTTCATATTTCCTCAGTAGAGAATGAATACAGCCAAAATTCATGAAAATTTAAACTGCTTAGCACCACTATAAGCCCAATATATATGCACTAATTTATGTAATTTTCAAAATTAACTCAGAGGGAGCTTTACTATTTTCTCTATTTTATAGAAAAGGCAAATAAAGCACAGAAAGGTTAAGTAATCAGCTCAAGGTCACATTCTAATAGGATAGTAAGAATTCAGGCAATCTGATAGCCTATCCCAAACTTTTTATCACCCTCCCATTATTCCTCTCCATTTAGATAATTTGCATAATCACAGAAGTTTCATTAAACTGATTTCCCCCAAACAATGGAGCAATGTTTCCTCAAAGATGCATTCTACTTCCTGCTTTGGAGCTGAGAGGGAAACTATTGACAATTTCTCAGTTTCCCATCTTTTCCCTCTGGAATTTCATCCCATAGTCAGGCTTAGCACATCCTGCCTCATCTCACGCTACCCTGAACTTCTCTTTTTCAGTTGTAGAAAACCTACCAGTCCTTTCACAGAAGCCAGACTGAGCCCAAAAGTTCTACTCCCATTGATTTCTGCCCTCTCTGTATTCATGTAACAATAACTGTCTATAGTAACACTCTTAGTCATTACCTTCCATACTTGATTTATAAGGAATGCACATGCATGGATCCCTAAAGTAAATGGCACAATGTCTTGCATAGACTTGGTATTAAAAAAGAATTACTAATTGTTCAATTGATTGAGAGGGTTCTCAGGTTCTAGGAGATTATGTATTTTGCAGCAAGATTGGTAGCAAAGACAAATTTAGTTCTTGGTTTTGTTTTTATATAATTTAACATTAGGAAGTGTAAACATGCATTGAAATGTCATACTGTTCCTTGAACAGTATAATTATGTACAATTACTATATATTGATTAAAAACTTTAAGAAACTTATTTAAAAAAAGAAATTCAGGGAAAAAATCTGTGGATATTAGAGGTTAAATATCCCTAGTGTACAAATCTGAAATCTGAAATGCTATGAAATTTGAAATTCTGTGCAAAGTCAGCACTCAAAAAGTTTTACATTTTGGAACATTTAGGATTTTGGATTTTTGGATTAAATGTGCAACTAGCAAATATTCCAAAACACAAAAAACTCTGAAATCTGAAAGAGTTTCAGTGCCATATCAGATTAGGCATATACAATCTATATCAAAATGTCATTCAATAAACATTAAATGTGCCAGGTCATTTTTCTCATTCTTCTAGGTATTAAGAAAGAACAAACTTTCTCTCCTTAACTCTATACCCAAGTTGCCATGCTTCCTTCTAGATTCAAATCCAAGATTATGATCCTTGTTCCTAAAACACAGAAACACATATTCTAAACTTGCTCCTCTTCAAAGTCTCAACATTTCTTTCTTTTTTCTTTTTGGTACTGGGGATTGAACTCAGGGGCACTCAGCCACTTAGCCACATGCCCAGCCCTATTTTAGACATAATACCTTTATTTTGTATGGTGCTGAGGATTGAACCCAGAGCCTCATGAATAGCAAGGCAAGTGATCTACCACTGAGCTATAGCCCCAGCCCCTCCCAGACCTATTTTGTATTTTATTTAGAGACAGGCTCTCACTGAGATGCTTAGTGCCTCTCTTTTGCTGAGGCTGGCTTAGAAATCCTTCTGCCTCAGCTTCTTCAGCTGCAGGGTTTACAGGAGTGTGCTACTGCATCTAGCTTCAACATTTCTTGAAAGCTTCCCATCATCAATGGAACATATGTTAATCATATGTTTAAAAATAGAAATCTAAGTTTTACATTCACCTGATGAATGTAATGAGAGAGAGTACCAAGACAATTTGCTTCTCATTTCTTTTGCCAGCTTAATAATACCATCAGGGCAATTTTCTATGTTTACATGTAGCTTTTTTTATTAGCTATGGGTCGCTGCAGTTTTAATTTATGGTGTGATAAAAAGAGTTTACAATAATTTTCAGAACATTATTTTTTTGAGAGAGAGAGAGAGAGAGAGAGAGAGAGAGAGAGAGAGAGAGA